GATGCATAACCACACATAAGATTTCTGAATGTTTAATAATGTGATTCCAAGATATTTAATTAAATTAAATTATTATATTAGAGCGCAAAATTTACATATCACCAAAGAAACAAAACTCAGATTCACTTATGTAGTGTTCCCCTTTTGAGTACAGTTGTGGTAGCTGCTCCTTTCCATTCAACATTTAAATGTGGGTAGTGGGTACAGTGTTGCCAATACTTGAGTGAGAAAGAATGCTATAAAATGTTTATACTTAACACTTGACCGCTTTCCAATTTCAAGTACAAAAGCAACGGTCACAAAATATTTTTTGTTATTGTTTTGTTGTTGTTGTTTTTTTTTGTAATTAAAGAAAAGTCCTTATTTTTGATGGCGGGCGTGATAACTCCTCACTGGAACATCGGAATCCGAAAATTCAAACGGTGTTAGAAAGAGTACATGTCTGGCTCTCGTTTTTGAGTTATCGTGCCCGCCATTTGCAAAAAAATGTTTAGAGAAAAACGCGTTTAAAGTTTGAGAAGCCCTTCAGCCGTCACTTGATGCTGGCACAATAAATCGGCTATATCTTCAAGAGTTCTTGAGATTTTCACTTGAGAGCAGAGCAGACCATCCGATAAATTGGAACACTTGTTACTGTATTCATCCAAATTAGAATTATACTCCCAATTTTAATCGCATTTGCCTGAATAAGTAATAAGCGAAATGATTTCAACCGAACTGTTAAAATTTGACTTAATCGTGTGAAAACGTAAATAAAAAATTTAACAGTTTGAGGGATTTTCTACAAAAATCACCGATAATATTCGCTTCTTACATAACCTGTTTATTGATAACGATTTCATATTTATATCTATAGCCCAATTACATGTATACTGGCAATTTTCATCAAAGTTAGGACCCATTTTATGGGAGGTATAGGAAATCTTGGTCCGATCTATCCCATTTATTGCCTCTTGTTTTTAGGCCAATAATAAGCACTTGTAACAGTTTTAATCCGCCTACGACAACCTACGTCAAATGCTTTTAAATTTCCGACATACTGCGTTGTGGCAAACGGAATGGATGCCCTAATAATGTTTCATTTGGACCCAACGACTCATTCCACAGACTTTCATTTGACTTTTGTTTACTTTTGCCAAATTTAGAAATAATAAAATTTAACCCATTGTACCAGATATACACATTATAAATTTATTATTTTTTAATATTAAATTATTTTAAATAATTTATAAATATAATTTAACAATTTAAACTAATATCAAGGGAAACAATCCAAATTTAAAAATTATCCTAATCAACAAAACAATTGTAGGAAAAATAATTGACATTATATACAAGTTCCAAATACATACAATGTTGTCTGTGGGCAATAGTTTCTCCTTAAAGGGTTATTAAATTCAAATATTAATTTCAAAATGTTACTATCCATTCACACATTAGCGTTGTAGTAACATTATAATAAATGAATGTATGGGCGGATGAAGACAATAACGGTCAAATCCAATACAATAAAAAATGCAAATTTGAGGGGAAGGTTTGTAAATAAAAAGGGAATCACAAAAAATATGTAAATAAATGAAAGCTGTGAAATATTTTGCATTACATAATACTAAATGAGGTAACATCATTGTTATATTAACCGAAATATATTCAAATTGACTAAAAAGTCAAGTTAAATTTGAAATTATTACACTATACTACAACATCAAGCTCATGGGGTTTGGGAAATTTCTTTTGGAAATGCTTGACGGATAAATTCGCAATATTATTCGCGGGAGACAGATCCGGATCCCTAAATATGCCAAACATAAAATTATATTTCTAAATCTTTTGTAATATCTGTATAAAACAGATAGCGACCTTATTATCGGGTATGCGTAGCGTATCCGGTATGCGTACAGTATGAAAATTCCGTATTCGTACACCCATGATAATAAAAATTATTCAAGGTATGTAATGTAAAAATCCAAAAATGTATGAAATTTATTGTCTGTGAAAACAAAAAATCTAGCATCCTTATATATCGACGCCTCAGAACCATAGTATGCTAAGTCTAAAAAGTGAGTTTTTCAGTAGAAGCTCTCAAAGTATGGAAGTTTCATATATCTTACGGGCCATGCTAAGTAAATTTTTGCTTATAACTTTGGTTTGGATTGGCCGATGATTACCAAAATTTCAGAGAATATAAATTAAGGACCGTAGTATCTAAAAACGTAAAGAACTTTAAAACATGCTAAGTCGACTTAGCATACTATGGTTCGGAGGCGTCGATATATCATATATTCAATTTTTTTTTTCTTTTTTGATTTTGTTCTCTTTACGTATACGGACTGCTATTGTTATCCATAATGAGAGAACTCCGCCATCTAGCTGCCAAATGATGAATTTTTTACATAAGTTTGTTTTTCTTGCAAAAAATTAATAAATCCGGCCGAAATCTATATACAGTAGATATCGGATATAAGCACATCTCATATACGAAAAAATCGCATATAAGAAAGATTATCAAAAACACATACATATCATCAGTGTAAAAATTGCTTCATATAAGAAAAACACTGATATATGAAATGTTTGTCAAACACCAAAGCTGACAAAGGTATATGAAAACGTTTCATATGAGAAAATATGTAAGATTGTTGGCCAATTTATTAACATTGAAAATGTTAAAAAAATATAATACTTTTTAATTGTATTTAAAAGAATATTATTTATATGAATAGAAACATATGCACCTATTTTTAATCAAACTGTGAACTGATTTTAATTCAGTAGTTTTGTACTCTTATATATACGCGTATGTACGCATATAAGAAACAATTTTCTTATATCCAATAATTTCATATAAGAAAAAAACGCATATAAGATATCTACTGTATATGAAAATGAATTGCTGTTCGTTAGTCTCGCTAAAACTCGGGAACGTCTGAACGGATTTATCTTATCTTAGTCTTGAAATGTTCGTGGAGGTCTAGGGAAGGTTTAAAAGGTGAGAAAAAATCTAAAACCGCGAAAAATTTGCATAAAAATAGTATGCAGCCTATTTGCATTTCCTCGAATTTTGTGTCGTTCTATTTTGATAGCACCACGTCGTATTTTGAGGTATTTTGGGCGAAAATTGGTAGCGTATCATTCCGTTAAGTCTACATTTGTCAATTATTGAACATTTTCAAAATATTTAATTTTTTTAATTGTATTGAAACATTTTTTTGGAGAATACAACAAATTATTGAGAAGTATATCAGTGAATGTACAGGTTTTCCATAGAATGCACGTACATTTTGGAACTAATGCAAGGATGGAAAGTCAGAAGACGTTCTGAGTGGAGTTCGTGGCCATTCAGGGTATTCGGATCCTAAGATCCATGCCCTAGATTAATTTGTTCCTAGGAACATGTTGATCCTTAAAGTACCTGAAATGTTGATATGCCACGGGAAATATCAAAGCAGGTGATTATATACCTAATCGTCTTTCAATATCGCATATATCCGATACCAAAAATGTGTATCACAGAGCAAACTAATATACGTGATATTTTCTTTGCAAAAATATATCATTAAGTTCAGCTGTAAAGAGAACAACTAAAAAAAAACCAGCAATATTAGAAAAAAATAGCATAATATCTAATTTGGAGGTTATACCAAAACCTCCGTCCGATGTTACATATTCGTATTGAACATGCCAACTACCAATAACACTCAGTTTGGAAAACGGGTGTAAGAACTTCAACATACCGAAAATTGAACGGGAAATAATTATGGCGTCTTTTTAAAACGACAAGCTATAGTGCATAATTTCTGGGATGATGTTTTCTATCCACAGGAATCGGTTATTCCTAATTATAGCCAACTCTATGACAAAATTAGGTCAATGTCTTTATAATACCGAAAATGGGGCAAGACCTGTATGTATAGATATATCAGAACTTGGAACTAATTAGATAATTTTTCACCAAATTCAATCACTGCTCTAATTAAAATTAATTTTTTTGAAATACTTTCGTAAATATGGATGCACATTTGTTTTATAAAATAGCTTTATCTTATTTGCGTTCCTTTCAAATTCTGTACCCTGTATCCCTATATTAACCTAATTAACTAGTCTATATTCGGTTATGTAAACATAGCAAGTAAAAAAACGGCATTAAGATTAAGATTTGTACAAAATGCCATTAAAATGAACAATTAATGTCGTTGGGGAAAAGAGAGCGCCAAAGCAAGGCAAACAATTGTTACCCAACTGAAACAGTGACCAACCTTTCAGAGAGTGAAAAGTGAATGTTCGTTTGAAAAAAAAAACTAAAACACCATCGCCAATGTAGAATGTAGGTATGATGTTGTTGTAATGCAATTATTATTATAAAAAACCAAATATGAACTTTAAGTGAACTTCTTGCCGGCGACCGTATTATTAAATAAGGTTTACCTATCAAGCAGTACAGCGGAAGTAAACGGTAAAATGCAATAATTGAATGAATCGTGCACCACACATGTGTTCATGTATAAAGACCTCAACACGACTTGGTCAGCTATGAAATGAATGTTACATATATTGGACCACAACACATCCATATGCTTGCCGCCACTAACGCCCTATTTGATCTGCTATAAGAGAAAGCCAAAATGCATACAAAGTTTATTGTTTTAAAATGTATATCCTTATTTATTTATTTTTTTACTTTTCCGTTTCTTTTTTATTTAGAGATTAAATCTGTTACATTATGTTGATTGAGGGAGAACGTAAACGTGAAAAAAATGGGATTAATTAGGTAGTGATTTACCTAGAAAATAAAAAAGGTTATTTTAGAAAATTAAAAATATTAACAAAAAAATAATATAATAATATTGATAAGAAAGAACGTTATTAATGTTATTAAATGGATGTTTTAGTTAAAAACTAAGAAATCCATATTGTATCCAAAGATTTAGGGACTCTGACAAATACTCAAAGAGTAATTCCAAGCTGAATGTCATTCCATACATATTGTCCAGGCTTCTTATTTACTCTTTGGTTTCTTCCTCAACTGTTGCCTCCTTAGTTGCGGCGCTAATCTTTGCTGCATTGCCTGGTGTTCTTGTTGTTCGTTGTGGCTTGCCTTTAGCAGGTGGTGTTGATGTAGAAACATTTTCGGTGGTCGATGCAACATCTGTCGAATCTTCTTTAGCAGGTGCTTTCTTTGATGAGTCTTCCTTTTCTTCAGATTCCTCTTCCTTTTTTCCATTTAAATCCTTATTTTTATGTTTCTCACTAGAAAATAGCAACAAATAATAAAATAGTTTTAAATGATCATTGTTTAGTTAAATATGTCTTATTTTAATGAGGTAACACCTGCAATGTTTAAACATGCACTACTAACCTTTCTATATCAATATTGAGCACCGAATCATTTTCTTCATCCTCATCACGTTCCTCAGGCTCAACATGCCTCAATAGATCTCCCAAATCTTTGTCGACATCTTCCCAAAGCTTTTCATCGGCTTGAGCATCATCGTCCACATCGTGTTCTTCTTCGTCCTGATCATGATCACCATCAGCCTTCTCAGTCTCTTCATTTTCATTAGTTACTTCTTCCTTCTCTGTTTTTGTTTCTTCATCACCGCCATCCCCTTCATCTTTATTTTCACTCTCCGAAATGGCTTTCTCCTTTGCTTCTTTACGTTTCTGAGCATTCTTTTCTTCTTCCTTGTGGCGCAGGTATGCCTTCAAGTGAGATCTCTGTAAGCAATGTTTCTTGGAGAATTCTTCCAAGGTTGTGTTCTCAGTTGATGCAAATTGTTCACACAATTCACAATAAAATGCCGAAACTTCCTTGACAAATTCATTGCCAACCGGCGTACGATCCTTGTCATCGCTCTCTTCCTCGGAATCTTCATTGGCATCATTCAATAGGGCCTCAACATCAGCATCCATTTCATCGTCAATTTCACCCACCGAATCGACAGTCATAAATTTATTTAAATCAATTTCACGCATTTCTTCGTCACCGCTATTATCCGAATCGGAATCTTGTTTGCGTGCCTTGTTCTGTAGAGAAATTAAAGGAGAAAAGATTAGTTTTTACAAATCCCCCTGGTTACGTTGATGGAGACTACGTACTTTGATGTGTTCCAACGAACAACGATGGGTCTCATAGAGTATGGGACTTTTGAATGCTAAATGGCAGGTGGAACAGTATGGCATCAGGAATTTTTTCATAATCTTATGATGCTCAGACAGTTGATGCTTGGCCTTTGGTTGCCTATAATGTAAACGGCACAGATGACAAAATTTCGATTCATAAGTTTCCTTGGACTTTTCCTCAATTTCTTTTTGAGCTGCACGCTGTCGTGCCCTCAATCGCAATAGATGGGCCCTTTGGCGAACAGCAATCTGGCGCAATGCCGCCTTGTGGACGCGTGAGGACAAATGGTAGAGATAATCCTAAAAATATGGGCATGCCAATAAATTTCCATTTGGTCAACATTTTATTTGTAGTGGCTTACCGTAAATGTAACACATTTCATGTGGCAATGAATGCATGTCAATTTAATGAAACGTGATCCACCGCCCCTACGTGAAGGACTCTCTCCACGACGAGTGTTTCGACCTTTGCGTTCCTTAGAGCTATTATCGGCGTCGTCGTCACTTCGCGACGACTTCTTTGATTTTCTATCCTTGTCATCTTTCGACTTGTCATCCTTTTTAGTGGATGATGTGCTGGACTTCTTGTTGGCCGTCGATGATTTTTCTTTCTTCGCAGAACTCTCCTTTGTTTTCTTACCTTCTTTTTTGTCTGCCTTCACCTCGGACCCATCAGCATCTTTTGTTGCTTTTTCCGCACCATCTGCTGTCTCATTATCATCATTCTTTTCGGCAGAATCATCTTCACCCTCTACATGTTCCTTGTCATCGGCATTGGACTTTTTGTCTGCGTCTTCTTCGATTTCTTCCTCATCCTCGACGTTATCACCCTCACCTTTTGTCCTGGATGTGTTGTCGCCGTCCTCGGCTTCATTATCTTCCTCATCCTCTTCGTCGTCATCTTCGGCATTTGACTTTTCTGATTTTGCACGCTTAGACTTGCCTCGTTTGGATTCTTTCTTATCATCAATGCCCTCTCTTTCATCCTCTTCATTGTTCTCATCCTCGTCATCACTGCCCTTCGGCTTGGACTTTTTCTTGTCTTCATCTTCATCACTGGATCCAGATGCTGACTTTTTAGCACTCCTCGATGAACGGCGTGGACTCTTTGAAGATCGTCTTTCAAAGCGACGACGTCTAAGTGAGCTAAAATTTGTTTTGGATTGATTTGTATATGTTTTTTCGATGGCGAAAGGTAATCAACACATATGGGAGGAAAAATACGTTTAGATCAATTGTTTCAGTTTAGAGATGAAATGAAATAGAAATTCAAGAAATCATAAAAATTATGTTCGAGATCAATTGCTGTCATCACAAAATAGAACGGCTGCCAAGCGAGCCACTCGCACAAACAAACATTGTTTGTTCAGAATTCAATTTTGAGAGTTTTCGTTCATTTGTTTTGCACGGGGCGGGTGAACTTCATCAAACATATACCTAATATCTCTCGAAGAATCGTATCTCACGGGAATTAGGCGTTTGTTCGCAAAAATAAATGCCCACTCAATATTTATATTAAGAATATTCGATCGGCAATTGTCTCAAAATTCATTCCCAGTTTCTTATGATTCGACTGTGTCAGTAATTGAGCTTTAAAACGTTAATTTTCTTGGATTGTTTGTTTGTTCAAGTATTTACCTCGTTAAACGTGCAATTTTCAAAAGTCGGGCACGATCTTTCTGTTGAGCGTACATTAGTTTACGTCTCATAATTCGCAGGTCGTTGGATTCACGGCGTACAATACGACCGGATCCGCCTCCGCGGCCAGAGCGTACTCCGACGCGACCAGTGGAGCCACGCATGCGTGAAGTGAAACTGCTGCGAACCGGTGGTCTTTTACTTGGCGGTCCCATATCTGTACGATGTCTGGACTTTGAGTCTTCGCGATCGCTGTGTCTTGAGGAGTTTCCACCTCTGTAGCCTGACGTTGAACTTGATGACGTTACCACTGGAGGTGGTGGCGGTGGAGGCGTGCGATTGCCCCTTCCAGTTGATGATGACGTGCGTCTATAATCCTATATTGACGATGATGAGAACAGATTTGTAGAGGAGAATGTTTTTTTGGATTTATATTTCTATAGCAATGTTTGTTTGTATAGTTTTTGTAAGTTATCTGTCATTTCAACTTTTTCAGAATTGGCTAGAGTGCTTCATATTCAACCAAACAACAACAATATTCAATATAATTTGTCTATGCGATTCTGATCTTGTGGGTTGATTTTGTCTTTACAAACACATTACAACACAAGAGGATGTTTTTATTTATTATTTGATTGGGAGTTGGTTTGTTGGGAGAAGAGCTTTACAAAGCTGCCGTATTTATTTCTGCTTACATCTGCAGTAGAGAGTGAGTGAATGGAGTTTAGTTAATCTTTCGAATCATATGAATTGTTTTTTGAATCTTATCAAAACACCACGGAGAAGAATTTGCATTTAAAGGTATAAGCTGTCTGCACATTCCTTGTCAAAGCCCAAGGTTTCAAGTCTACACATAAAAATATACAATGGTTGAGATAAGGTAAGGTTATGAGGAGGTTCATTCATTCACAAATGTTTTTCTTCATCTATATATTATGAACTGTATGTAGTGGTAGTAGTGTTGCATCTTTTCTGTTTTCTTAGCCGCATTCGTGTTTATAATAGACATTTATGTTTTCTTGTACGCTTGCTGATCCTTTATAAGGAATGCCTGAGTGATTTCATTTATCTCTAGACAATGCTCTCTCTTTTCATAAAGTCTTTCCTTACCCAGCCACACTACTGCAATTGGACATACAATGAGGTAGATAGAGCATATTCGTGGATACATTCCTATATATCTAGACTAGGAGTAATCATTTACATTATTTGTAGCAGTAGATAGTCTATTATGATATCCACGTGCAGTACAAGTAGAGTTGTGAGTTTCATAGAATTTTCTCATCGGATTTGATTTTGAAAACTCAACGGCATTATTCTTCCTAAATATAACTCTATGGGTTTTCGTTACAACAAAAACATGTAAAATAGTTATATGAGAATGTAATTAAATATTGAAATGTTTACAACAAGTATATAGATATAAATATCAATATATATGGATTAGATATATGTTGATGGCTTAATTATATAATTACTTCTTCATTTGAATTGACCACAATTAAATCAATAATCGTAGATATTTTTATGTTACTTACGTCTTGCCGAGATCTTTTGTGATCTGAAGAACGATCACGTGATGAGTCCTAGAAAAGAGATATATGAAATTATTAGTTTTATTCAAGTTGTAATATATATATTTAAGTATTTTTTTTAAGTTGTTTCGAAGTTAGGCATTTTTACCGTAATTATAGGGATATATATAATTTTCTTGGGGAGACATACCCGGTTATTTTGGTCCGGGTATCGTTTCTACGGAACCGATTAATACAAAATGAGTATTTAAGACTATATCCTATGGACTGATTCCAACAATGCATTGTATGGTTCTAAGGCACAGATTTTTTGATCCAAAACAGATAAGTCGCATATCGCACCATTTTGGAAAAAGTGGTACTGGTTCAAAATCTAGTTTTTTTATTGTATCTCAGAAATGTTTTCAGTTAATCCCTCAATGGAAAGATATTTCCAAATACTTGAAATAATTTTGTATTAAACGATCCCATAGAACCGGGCATAATAGGGGATCCGTAACCGAACTTACGGTTCAAATAACCGGCAACGTCGCACAAGTAAAAATATATCCCGTAATAAGGGTAAAATTTCAACCTCTGCGAAAATAAAAAAGAATCAACGTTTGAATATACACATTTTACTTACCCTGTAACTGCGTTTGTGTCCAGAATCATGACGACTAGAACTGGAATTATTAAAACGATCTCTACGTGAATCATAGCGGCTGTCATTGTTGCTGCTGGAATTATAGCGGCCAGAACGATCTGAAGAACGACCACCAGACGACTGCATGCGGTTATTATTGTAATTCGATGAACGGTATGATGAGCCACGATTATTGGAACCACCACGGTTACCACCGTAGCCCCTATTAAAACCACGAGCCATATCTAGGAAAAGGCAAGCACTTCGATTAATTAAATTCAAAATAAAAAATCACAAATTTATGTTAAAATCTATCTTTTTAACTTTTTAATTTTGTTTTTGTGTATGTATCTATTAGCACTGACCGGCGTCTGTTGTTCGCAAGGGATGCCGGGGAAATTTTTCTGGATTCCCACTTGGATAGGATAATACACACACGTAATATTGCAACTATTATTTCACAACAACAAATAATTACCTTGGTTTTATACAATTATTCGAAATATTTTCAGGAAGTTTACTTTTTTGTATTTGTTGATGATACTGAGCACATACAATTATATTAAATATGAAAATTATTAATTTTATTTTTACTCAGAAACACGCGAAGAAAATTTTCACAAGCTTCTTTCTGTCTAATTAATATTATAATGAGTTGGCAACTCGTTGTACAAAATAAATTATGGAAGATGGCGACAGTTGCCAATGAGTGCGAGTTACCAACAGAGTTTAACTAAACACAATGTGCAACGTAAAGCAGGAAACTTTCAGGAATCAGGAACGTTTAGACTTCGCAATGATTCAATAATTTGGTCTGTTCCCGTACTGCAAGAATCTATCATATTTTATGAAAAATGGTATTTTAAACAATGTTCCTGATTATGGACGTTTAAAATATCATCTAAAATTTGCAGGGTTATTTTTTGACATTCATCCACAGGTGTATGGTAAAAATCCCTAGCTGCCCTCAAAATCAAGGATATTATGTTACGCATCCCTTATCTGTCCAATGATATTTTTCAAAATCTCCTGCGGTTGGAGGTTTTGGGCATATATTTACAGCTACACATTGGGCCTACTCTGTAACTTTTTAACAACATTCGATATTGTTTATTTTACAACAATTTCATTTGTTTGTTTTATTGTTTTTACAATTACAAAAGAAATTTAAACAATATCGAATGATGTTCAAAGTTACAGAGTAGGCCTACTGATTACAAGAAAGTTAAACGGCATATGAGGTTTATTTGAGGATTTATTTGAATACAATTGGTTAACGAAATCCGGTTAAATGTAAACGTACCATTATGCCATTATTGAAATCTGTCCATTGGTCTTTACCAAAATCTTTGATGGAAGTCCAGATAAACTCAAAGTTTTTACAATTTAAAAGGAGATTATGTTGCGTAGCCTGTATTAATAATATAACCATAGGAGAGACTCGCCTCCAAGAGGCGGCAACAGACCAAATTTGTGTAATAGTACGTTTAAATCATACAGGATTTAGTTAACCCAGTTAATTTAAATTTTCAATGCCTTTGAATATATGCTAAATAAATCCCCATAAGGAAGGCTAACCCGGTAAAAAGGTCTAATGTAAATGCCGTTTAATTTAAATTTTAAATTGTACATTTTTGTGGGTAGTGTACGAGAATTTGACACACGCTTATGGAAATATTGCAAAACCTTTTACGTAATACCAATTTAAACCCACTGGGTTAACGAAATTCAGTATAATGTAAACGTAATGTTACGAGAACTTACGATTTTTCTTGTATTAAATTATCTGGTCCCGTAATACAAGAATACAATATTTTTTACTATTTCTTCCGATATCATAAAAGAAAAAAATGTTATCGTAGTAAGTTCCTTGAATAGTCCAAAAATCTTCAAAAAACCATGAATATGAAAATTAGCTTCATGTTTATTGTCAACATAATAATTTATTTTTTATAACAAACAATTGGTCTGTTCCCGTACTGCAAGAATCGACTATTTTTTACTACGATAACACTTTTTCCTTTATGATATCGAAAAAAAATAGTAAAAAATCGTAGATTCTTGCAGTACAGGAACAGACCAAATGTTGTTTTTGTAAATGGTCTGTTCCCGCACTTTCGTGCAGTTTTTACTATTTTTTTCGATAGCTTAAAGGAAACTTTTGGTCTGTTTCTGTACTGTAAGATGGTATGTTCCCGTACTGCAAGAATCTACTATTTTTTACTCCGATAACACTTTTTTCCTTTATGATATCGAAGAAAATAGTAAAATCGAGTAGATTCTACCAGTACGGAAATAGACCAAGAATCTACTAATTTTTACTATTTTTTCCGATAACACAAAGGAAAAATTGTTATCGTAGTAAATAATTGTACATGTTTTGGAACAGGTTTTGGAATAGACCATTTGTTATCGTAGTAAAAAGTTGTAGATTCTTGCAGTACAGGAACAGGCCAAAAATGTTTCTTGTATCTTCTTATTAAATACCCCTTGGGTTGTTCTAATACCCGTCAGAACATGCCATAAATTGTCTTCTAGTCAAAACCGATTAATCGATTAGTGATATATCGACTTTTATACCCATATTCCCTTTACATGAAATTCGCCTGTCAAAGTAACAAAAAAAAAATATTGTAGATTGATTAGTAAGAAGGAAAAATAGTGAAAATACATTGATTCGACCCACAAAAAATCGTGTAATTTATTTATACTCAGCACAAAAAAGAATATTTAACATTTCAACATTCTCAAAATAATCTTCGAAATTGGAAGTTTCCTTGGCATTTCGATTTTTTGCACGGCAACAATTGTATTTTCCACAGAACAAAGAGCAAAAAAGTTGGCAAAACCAAAAAGTGTAGACTGTCAGTGAAAAAAACTAAAACTTCTGCAAAAACGAATTGAAATAACAAAAAAGAAAACAAAGAAAAAAAATTTAGAGACCAATAAAAATATTCAAGGCAAATTTATCTGCAGTATTTAGAACCATATATAAATAAAAATTGTGCCAATATCCAATTGGAAAAAGAGGACTATTTCCAATACTATTTTGAGAAAGTAGAGGCCACACAATCTCCTCCACATTCAACGAAGTTGCAACTGACATTTTTTGTTAACAACTATTTATTAGTTTTCACTGCATCCTTCTTCTCCGGCAAGAAGAAGGACTTCATTGATACGAGGGCGTGCGTGCGTGTCCCATTGCATTTTAACTTTTGGTGTATCTACGTTTCATTCATCCACCACAAACAAAAAGACAAACGAACAAACAAACGTCTTACATTACAAACATGGCCAATACACTGGAGGAACAACAAAGTCTACGGGAGTGTGAAAATTACATACAGTCGCATGGCATACAACGCGTACTCAAGGATTGCATTGTGCAGTTGTGTGTCAGCCGCCCCGAAAATCCCATACAATTTTTAAGACAGTATTTTCAAAAACTAGAAAAGGTAAGTGAACTCTCTCTCCAATGTCCTTCGGTGTGTCTGCTATATGTCCTTGGTGTTTTATAAATAATGGCTATTGTGCTACAATAAAATTGTGTAAGCTAATGTAAATGGAATGAAGAAAAGGTATTTAAATGCCAAGAAGAAAATAGAAAAAAATACAAATGTTAGAAAGAATCAGTCGGTTTGTGCCGACAGATGAACATGTGTTTTTTGGGCTAACGAAATTTGGAGACCCATATCTCTGGAATTACGGAATTAGGAACAACTCAAGTATAAACGACCAGATTTTTCTGATGTAGGTATATTTACCCACATTATGGAAATATATTTGTTTCTTTTACCTTCCTTCATATCAATGGATCCGTAGAACCGAGTACCCGTTCCTGAACTTCCGGATCAAATAACCGGGTATGTCAACAAAGAAAAAATATATCTTCATAATTAGAAAAAAACCATAAAAATCTGAGTTTTAACTAAACTAGAATTAAGCCAGAAATAATTTATGCCGTTGTAATCAGGGCCCAAGAACTACATAGGGTAAAATTTTCAAAACGATCCGCGACCTTGCCTAAAACTGGACATACCACTATTTTTTAAGATAGACGGCTTTCGGCTGTGGGTTTAAAAATAGCTGCTTTGGAGAAAGGGAAAATTCGGCTACGCGATCGAAAATTTCTTCTAAATTTTGAACATATAAATTTCGGAATGAGCCCATATACTATACTTAAGCACAGCTGAGTATAAGTGGTTTTTTTAACATTCTCCAAGAAGATATATTATCGTGGTGAGGGTGACGATAACTACTCGTGGCAGAAAATCCGAGATGAGCCCCTAAATTCAACTTGCGAATACCTTTTTGGACCCTTGTTTTCTCAACATTACTTAGAAACGATATTAAAAAATTTTATTTATATTTAAATTGATTAATTTTTGTAGTTGGAAATTTGGTTTAAGGCCCTGTTGGGGAACGTCTTTAATTTGCATCGATATTTTTGCTCCTTACTTCCTGACATATGGGCATGCAAATTTAATTCTGAGGATGTGGATATCATTCTGAAGCAGTTCTGGCTTCTAAGTACCTACCTACTTTCCGAGAAATTGGCTTCAAACTTTGATAGCTTTTTAAAACAGAATCTGTTGAGTAGCCGTTGTTGACATTTGTCCATAGGAGAAAGTCACAAATAGTTCCTATTAAATAGGGTATTCAGTTGTGAAGTTTGTCATACTGGAAATGCATATAAACAAAAAAGTTCGGCCGAGCCGAAAAATGCTATTGGTGACAAGACGATATGTGCCAACTATTGAGGAATTAGCCTTCTTCCCATCCACTGTGCTGTGTGAACGATTGAAGCCAATGGTCAATGACATTATTGGATCATACCCATGCGGTTTCAGACCTGGCAAATCCACCAATGACCAGATTTTCACTATGGGCCAAATCCTGGAAAAGACTTACGAAAAACACATCGAAACATACCACATATTCATCGACTATAAAGCCGCATTCGACAGCCCTTTTCGTTCAGAGGTGTTTAAAGCCATGTCTTCGTTCGGCATTCCTGCAAAATTAATCGGCTTTGCAGGATAACTTTAAGTGGCATAAGGTCCGAAGTTGAAAGTCGAAGTCATTCAATACCGAACAAGGATTCAGACAAGGTGACAGTTTGTCGTGTGATCTTTTTAACATCCTGCAGGAAAAGGTCAAACGAGACGCAAAGGTGAACATAAATGACATTCTTTATACCAAACAACACATGTTGTTCGCCCACGCCGATGACATCGATATAATGGGTCGAACATTAAGAGCGGTAACATCCACCTTTGAACAAATTGAAAAGGGGCCTGCCAAAGTGGGTCTGGAAGTAAACGGCAGAAGACCAAGCTGATGGTATCAACGCGCAGGTTGTCCAGTAGACTCGCACCAACTGTGTATCTTGAGAACTACAGCTTCGAGGTAGTTAAAGGTTTTATATACCTTGGTACCGCCATAAATAAAACGAATGACATAAGTTTTAAAATTCGGAGAAGGATAGTGATGCTACTATTGCCTAAGTAAGCAGTTTAGAAACAAGGCCACCTCCCGCCAGACTCACTCACACTTTACAAGACGCTGATACCATCCGTGCTGTTATATGGATCTGAAGCAAGGTTACTTGCGCAAGCAGATGAGGCAGCTCTTGGGGTGTTTGAAAGAAAAATTTTCTGAAAGATCTACGGGCCATGTGGAAGAGAATATAAAAGAATCGGTCCGGCCGAATAAGCCATCTTTTTTACTTGTATTTAATTGAATTTTCTACAGTCCATTGTTAATATGCATGTCCATTCCAGCTCAGGTTGATTTTAACTGAAATTCTGGAGACATTGTCTGGTTTTGGTTTTTTTCTGTTACACAATATAACAGATATCCATCCAGCTACCCATTCATCCATACATACATTCATGGATTAAGCTATGCATGGACGAGCAGACGAATTACATTGAACGACATCAAATATTTACAAACGAACAACCAAGTAGGCCGAATAACACAATAAAGGGGTTGGTTGCTGGTTTAAAAAAAACTGTTAACAAGCGTAAATACATATGCCGGAACACAACATGGGAGGATGGCCATTTATGATGTACGTAAATATGAACTCAGTTATTTACGAAGGTGATAATCCGGAAGATGGGTCAATGATTTTTATTGAATACAGTTGTTGTCCAAGATGAAAATCAAATTAACCACGAACTGTGAAAGTTTGAGATATCGTACATTACAAAAATATATTTTGTGTCATTTTCGAAACATTCGAACATAATACAGCTTATGTTGCAGTGGCTTAAAGATGTCTAAAGAATTGGCTGTAATTTTCATTTCGTTTTTGTTTGTTTGCAACAGGCAAAAGGAAACGAGATAGACAAATGGTTCCTTTTGAGAATATGCATAGAATCACTTGATTTGAAATTGAAGAAAATCGGTTCAGATTTATATATAGGTCCCGTATATCGTTTCGTCCGATTTAAGGTAAATGGGACACAAAAGTCCCTATATATCTTTCGAAGGAAGGAAGGAATCTGGCATAAAGTACTGAATTATGTTTAGAATGATGTGAGCTAGGTTTCGTGAAAATCATATATATATATATATATATATTCGTTCGATTAAAGGTAAACGGGACACCAAAGTTCCTATATGTCTTTCGATTTGCACGAAATTTGGCATAGGATACTGAATTGAATCTAGAATGACGTGTGCTAAGTTTCGAAAAAATCGGGTCAGATTTATATATAGCACTCATATATATTTTCGTCCGATTTAATGTAAATTGTGCACTAAATCCCCAAAGTTTGGCCCACCGGCACACAATTTTGTACAATATCGGAAGTCACTACAACCTTTCGTGTGTCAAGTTTTCTTGCAATCGGTTCATATGTACATATAGCTCCTATATATACTATCGGTTGATTTTAAGTAAGTGGTGCACTAAAGACCCATGGCTAGGGCGATTGACACTGAAATTAATATAAATTAATCTCTGCATGTTCCCTTGAAATCGGTTCAGATTTAGATATAGCATAGTTTCCATATATAATTTCGACTTATTAATGGTGATTGTACACCAAATAATCAATACGTGCCTGATTTCCTACTCTAGAAACACAAACCCAAATCGGGAAAAATAAATTTTATATTTCTAGTCGAGTTCAGTCTTAGAGCAAACACTTACTCTTTTTCGAACATTTTGTCCACGTTCTTATTTTTCAAAAAGGGAAACTCGAGAGCCCTCCCACCGAGAAACAAATAATACCAACGTTTTGCATGATTGTAAATAATGTAAAAATATTAAAAAATATGTTTAAAAAATTCTTTACACAATAAAAATTCTTTCAGAATGGGGTCATTTTGACCGATTTTAGGCGAATTAGGTATACACAATATTCCCGTCTTTCTAGTGTTAAAGATAAATGCGCTGAAGGTGTAAACTGCTTCAACTAGTCCAGTGCTAATAAAAATCTATCCTATATTTGTATCGCAAAAGTGTCAATCCACCTTTATGAAATTCAATGCAATGATTAATGTAAATGTGTTTTTCTATTACCTATTTAGATAGGTCACTTTAACATCTTCACAGATTTTTTAACTGAAAAAAAAACAAAAACAGAAGTTTATGCATGTTATGTACTACCCTGTAGGAAATCTGGGTTTACGTTTCTCACAAGTCATCATGTCGGCTTTTTATGTATGGTGACATTGTCAAAGGAATTGTCTTCGCCATAAGCTAGAGTGTACTCGTTTGCAACAACTCGAAACATTCCTTGTTCCTTCCGACCCATTTTTGGTGTTTTATAACTTTTAATGAAAACCAATGCAGCTGTAATGTGGCATTCCGGGTTGTTGGCGGGTGAAAAACTCTTTTGGATATGATTTTCGATCCATGTTTTGACATAATTCCAATATAAAGGTCTCGTACCTTACTTAGCTGGCTTGTTACAGAACGGTTGTTCCATAAGCCGAGCTTAACAAAAATTCCAAGCGCCTCGGTCTTGTGCGCATATCCTCCAATTTGAAAGACCTCGTTCCAAGATGTTGTATTCTACTTGACCTCTCCATCTAATTCGTGGCCTTCTCCTTCTGCGTGAAACATCAGTAGGCTCGCTTTTATATACCTTTTGAGCTGGGGCTTTCTTATTCATTCGCACAACATGGCCTAGCTCAATACCTTTTGAGTCTGTAAAACTCGTCGTTCATTCGACGGCGATGTTCACCGTCGACGCAGATCGGCCCGTAGATCTTTCGGAAATTTTTTCTCTCAAACACCCCAAGAGCTGCCTCATCTGTTTGCGCAAGTACCCATGCTTCAGATCCATATAACAGCACGGTTAGTATCAGCGTCTTGTAAAGTGTGAGTTTTGTCTGGTCTCCAAGGCTTCCTCCATTCTTTCTAAACTGCTTACTTAGACCATAGTAGCATGTGTTGGCCATCACTATAATTCTCCGAATTTCGAAACTGAAGTGA